CCCCCTCCCTCCCCATTCCCCTTCCATTCCCTTCCCTTCCCTTCACTCCCCCTTCCCCTTCCCCTCCCTTCCCTTCCTCTCCCTTTCCCCCTCCCCTTCCCTTCCCCTCCCCTTCCTTTCCCTTCTCTTCCTTTCCTCTTCCTTACCTTCCTCTTCCTTCCTTTTTTCTTCTCCTCTCTCTCTCTTTCTTCTTCTCCCTTCCCCTCTCCTTTCTCTCTCCCTCTCTCCCTCGCTCCCTCTCTCTCTCCCTCTCTCTCTCTCCACTCCCAAATAGTCTACTTAAATCCTTTTGATTTTATTTATGTCTACGTGTGTATCTATGACGTTTCTATGGCATGGTTCTATATGGCATTTTAAAATGTCCTTATTTCATTATCCTTATCTTTATTCCATAATCTACTTTGGCCCCCAGTTCCCCAACTCATTTAACTCTTCCTGTTCCATTACCCCCTTTTCCACATTCATACTACCTGCCTTCTATTCCCCTCCCTTGAAATTCTCTTGCAGTCTTTTAGTAGTTTCTTGGCTTCCATGGGTACTCCAACAGAAACACACACATCTAAACAGTCAATGCTAGTATCGGCATATGAAAGAAAATGTGTTGTTTGTCTTCCTGGATCTGCATTATTGCTCAAATAATTATTTCTAGCTCCATCCATTTACTTGCAAATTTCACTTCTCTTTACAGTTGAGTAACATTCCATTGTGTATGTGCAGTAAATATTTCTTGTCTATTCATTGGGGGTGAACATCTAAGCTATTTCCATTTCCTGGCTAATGTGAGGGTGGTAGTGAGCATAGATAGACAGTTTTCTCCACAGCAGGACATAGGGTCCTTTGGGCACATGCCCAGGAATGGTATAACTGAGTAACATGTTCACTTTACTTCTAGCTTTTTGAGCAATATCCACACTGATTTCCATACTGGATGTTCCAGTTTGTGCCCCTAACACCAATAAATAAGTGTTCTTTCCCTACATCCATGCTAGCATTTGTGGTCAGTATTATTATTATTTTTTGTATTAGCCATCCTGAAAGGGAAAAGATAAAACTCAAAATAATTTCAATGTGCACTTCCCTACTGGCTAAGGCTGCTGAACATTGAAAACACTTTTCTTAGTTATTTGTATTTCTTCTTTTAATAACGCTCTTCAGTACCAGGCACCAATATTTAATTGGGTTGTTTGTTTTCTTAACGTTTGCTTTAAAAAAATTCTTTGTATGTTCTAGATCCTAAACCCAATAGAGAGGTTTATGCCCAGGGTTCAGAACCCAAACTAATTCTACTCCCTGTTTAGTCCCCTAAAATGAAATAAATATTTTCTACCTATAATCCAGAGGTAAAACTTTCTGCAATGAAGAATTCTCAAATGAGTGACAGAAGTGAGGACAGAGCTCTCTGCCTCAGAGGTTTCCAGCTAGACAGCTGAGCTCTGAACTACCTGTATTGTGACAATGAATTTGTCTCGGGCACTAGAGTTGCAGCCGAGGCATGGGGATGCACGGAGCATTTCCTTTCCCCATGAAATGCTGTAAGGGTCTGTGGGACTCCACCTTCACCTTCTGAGTGTTCTTCCCATCACAGTTCTGTTGTCAGGATTTCACACTATGATGTAATGCAGCACAGCTTGTCCAAAACAATATTAGATTTATTCCATTTGTTAAAAAGGAAGATAACGCTAGTATGTGGCCCTTCTGGCAACGCCTCAAGTCTTTCATACTAGGCATGGCTTCAATCACCTGTTGCTAAGATACTGTAAAAAATATTATCTGTTTTTTAAATGTTTCCTTTTAATTGAATAAACTGTTGCTTTGAAATATCAGTGCAAAGGTTAAAGAGGTCTTTGAAATTGCATATATAAATTTTGTTAATTGGCAGAGCTATCTCTGTGGACTGTACACACAGCAGCTGCTGTCTTCATGGAATCCCTTGTGGAGATTTAGAGGATGCGGCTTTGAGCTGTGCAGTCCAACTGATGGAAACAGCTGATTTTATAGTATTACAGCCGTAAGGGTTGACATAGATATGGGACAATGATCCCGATTAGCAATATCGTGCCAGAGGGACACACAGGACTTGCTGTCTCAGCACCTTATGAGCCAAGATATTAATATACCTGTGATAATATGCTCGAGTGTCCCTATTAAGATTTCACATCAATTCAGGTCCCATTCTACAGCCAACCTGGTTTGCTCAAACCTGTGGAGAGACTTGGGTTTTATGATCATTTTTGGCTTTCTGGCATTGCAACTGTGGACCAGTAAAAGAATAACCTCAGCTTGTCCATAATTTCAGGATTAGCGTAGAAACTAATGAATGCCTCCTACAGTAGCAACGTTGGGCATGCGATGCATCTAAGTGGGTTGAGAAAGGTTCATGGAACAGATTAAATACTCATTCTAGTAAAGACTAGGCAGAATCAGCATTGATTAACAGGTTCCCGAATATAGACAAGCCTCAAAAGGACAGATAAGAATGAAGAGACACTACAGAGCCTCACACGGTTCTTAAATCCAGGCACATCTCTTCCTCTGCACTGTTATTTTGTTAGCCCAGCTCACTAAAACTCCACACACTGGTTTCCTTACTTCATTCCCATCTTGCTACCCAATTATCAATCTTTTTTTTTTTTCATTCTCTCTGCTGTGGAATTCTAGAATGTGAACCTGACTTTGAAAATCACCATTACATTTCAATAGAGAGGATTGTGGAGAAGTTGAATTAGTGGAAAGTATATGATCACAATGTATTGCATATGAATCAAAAAGAAAAAAATTTAAAGAATTCAGAAACATTTCAAGAGTTTCTTATTTCCCACATTATCAGTCACTGAATAATGGACTGATAATGTTGGAAATCCCTATAGTGTTCACATTATTGTCCACCCTCACTTCCCATACCAGACAGCATCACAGGCCTCCCTGAGTCATAGTGACAAGCCTCTCTTCTGGAGATATTAGCCTCCTACAGTTTCCACCTGTTCTACAGGACTTGCCATCAGACCTCCAACTTACACAACAACATTGCCTGTTTGTGAATTTTCTCTCCTTGTCTATTTATACACTTTTTTTTTTGAGACAGGGTTTCCCTGTGTAGCTTTGCGCCTTTCCTGGAACTCGCTTGGTAGCCCAGGCTGGCCTTGAACTCACAGAGATCTGCCTGGCTCTGCCTCCCGAGTGCTGGGATTAAAGGCGTGCGCCACCACCGCCCGGCTATTTATACACTTCTTAATGTCAAAAGCTACCTCTCAGTATTTAGAACAGTAGTTAGTCCATAATTTATGTTCTATATACAGAGTCCAAACAGTCAGAAAACATGAAGAAGCAGTGCTCAGAAAATTCACTAAGAGTTCTCAGCCTAGAAGCAACAATAGTCACAAACTAACAAGAATGAGCATCCTCTTTTGGAAGTTCTAGATGTATTATTACAACATAATGGATGCAGAGACTTAAGTTATCTGGATGCCAAAACTATAAACTGCCATCTTTATCTCTAAGGATATGCCAAGGAGATGCAGAGATGTTTTAACCAAAGGAAAGGGATTCCCTTGTGGTGAAGTTGGGTGGGAGGGGAGATGGCTTTAAGAACATAATTTTGGTCCTGTGTGTCTGGTAAAAGAAAGTATGGAATGAATGATGTTAACTCCCCTTCATGGACTGAAGAGAGATATATAAGGTAAATTGACTTGCCATGATCTTTTAAATGTGATGGTGCTGTAGATGTATCAGTTGAGACTGGGCACCACGTGATCTCTTGTTCTCTGCATTTTGATCGGTTGTGGTTTTCTGTAATGGTCTCCATCTGTTGCAAAGAGAAGTTTCTTTGATGAGGGGTGAGAACTACATTTATCTGTGGGTATAAGGATAAATATTTAGAATGTAGTTAGCAATTATACTGGTTTAGTCAAGTGGTGGTTGTGGGTTTACCTCCAAGATCCACGAGTTCAGTAGCCCTGAGTAAAAGATTCCATGAATTACACACACACACAGAGAGAGAGAGAGAGAGAGAGAGAGAGAGAGAGAGAGAGAGAGAGAGAGAGCAAGAAAACTACATGGAAAGGGTTGGAAAGAAGAAAAGAAAAATAGGAAACAGTGTAATTATAATTTCAAAAGAAATTATTATTTAGGAATGTGATTGAATTTTTTTGACATTTCCTGATGTACTCATTCCTCTATGTTTTCATTTGGGAGCTGGTATTGCTCAGTAGTGGATTCTATGGTTCATATTCCTAGTTTTGAAATTCATGTATCCTAGGTACATTGAGACAAGTGGTCTCAACTTTCTTCATCTTAAAACTGTGACCAAAATAATAAAATGTGAAAAACAGAGACTCCACTATTTGACCTGTGGATAAAATGCGTATGGCCCTTTGATACTGTTAGTACATAGTGCGACCCATAGTTTGTTGCTATCAGAGCATTGCCCTTGACAGGATATGTATCATGGAAGTGACCATTCAAGCATTCTCTATAATGACTGTTGCTCTAATCAACATTTTTGAAGTGTTTTCTAGAATTTATCTAGAACCTTATGGATTTAAAGCCTTTACTCCTAATTCTGCCTTCAGAGAACTAGGTCTTAGTCTGAGTGGAAAAGATACAATGTCTTCTCTCTTCTTCATTTCTCCCGACTAAACATGTTCTATTCGTTTGATATTTTTAAAACAAATAAAATAGCATCCGTGTATGTGACTGTTAGGATTTGAACATGGAGCGGGACTCTCAGGTTCCAGTGTTGAATGCTTGGTCTCCAGTTGGTAAAGGTATTTTCCAGTGGTGGAGGCTTTAGGCGATGGGATCTAGTTGGAGGAAATATTAGTCATAGTTGGCCCCTGATCCCTTTTCTTCATCTTTCAGTGTTTCCCGACTACCAAGAAACAAATAGCTTCCTCTTCCACATATTCTTGCTGCCATGATGTTTCGCCATTTTTCATACCCAAATTAATGGAGCCAGCTCACCATGGGTTTAAATCTCTAAAACCATGAGGCAAAACAAATAATTCCATTTTTAAGTTTATTTGTCAGATATTTTGGTCACAGTTTCACAAAACTCATAGAAAAAACTGCAGAGTTATTGAATATTAAAGCTTGGGAGAACTCTGGACCCAAAGCCATGTGGCTGCAGTCAGTAGCCCAGGTTGGTCTATAACAAACAATGTCCCAGATTCTTACCTAAAATTAAATAATAAGATGTACGCTATCCTAATAAATGGAAAATTGAAACATGAAATAGTAGTTAGGTAGGGTGATTGAGAATGTCTCCTTCTAGTGAGTGCAACATGAAGAGTGTTGATATAGGTGTGAGTTTTGCTCTCAGTCAGATTCCCTGAAGTTCACACTGTAGCAAGTCACTGCCATGTGTACAATGGGGACTTACAAGCACAGCCAATAGGAAGATGTTCCTTAAGATCCTATCAATGACTCTTTCTCGTACCTGACGATTGCTACCAGATGAGGGCAGACCAGTGTAACTCAGTTTAAAGTACATTTCTATTAGAATGTGGCTAGTTCCACAACTGTGGGAGTTCAGAGTACAAATCTGTACTCTTAGAGAGAAATAAAAAAAGCATTATTTTGCATTGCCAGTTGAAAAAGTCACAGTGAGCACTTTTACTTCTGGGCATCTTGGCATGAGCTAATAAGGGCTCATGCTCAACTTACCCACTGACTTCTTGTTTCCTTGACCACAAGCCAGTAGGACATGGAAGGTAATGGTGTTATACTACTTGGATATCCCAATAAAACTTCTCCCTCACTCTTGGAAAGAGGCAAAATGATTCAAAACTTGGATATTCTTCTTGTTCCTTGAGACTAGATCATATGTTGTAGCCCATACTACCCTGGAACTCACTATATAACCCAACATGGCCCAAATTCATGAAAATCCTCCTTTCTTAGCTTCCTGGGTATTGGGGTTACAGCGTGGCCACATGGTTAGCAAGAGGTATTATTTTTTTCTTCACTTAATGAAGATAGTTGAGGCATTCATGGTAGGTATGGATGTAGATGGCAAGTGTTAAAGTAAATCATTGTTGACCATGATGCTAAAGAAGTTTACTCCTCACAGCCTGTTCTGGACCAAATAATCCACCACATTGTGGGAATTAGCAAGCTATTATTGGGGTCAAGGAGATATCTCAGTGAGTAAAGTCCTAGCTGTGTGTGTGTCAGGTGAAGACTAGGGTTTAGCTCCTCAGTTCCACATAAATACTAGGTGGGCTTAGTGCTCATCTGTAATCCCAGTGAATGGGAGTGAGGTGGCTACCTAGACTACCTGAATTGGTGAACTCTGGGCTCAAACAAGAGACCCTATTCCAATATATAGGTTGATGAGTTATCAAAAAAGATACCTGATGTCAAACTCCTGCCTCCACATGTATGTACACACATGTGATCCCATACATATAAAAAATGTATATGCAGAGGCACACTCATCACATGCATACATTACATATACACACACAAAAGAAGGCTTTATTATGTAAGTAACAGAATATGTGAGCAGTGGTGGTTTATTCCAGAACAGACTTATTTTCTAACAAAGTTAGAAGCTCAGGGGTCAAGTTCTTGATTTCTAAAGGAGATCATGATTTGAGGGAATACACCATGACATGATGTTGGGATGACAGCCAAGTGAAGAATGGCAAGCCACTCTGTAGTGATCTCATATACCATATGCTGATGGACATTTGATCTCCAAGTGCTCCAGCTCTCATGTCTACATCATGCTGACTGCCCCTTCCCTCAACATCATATTTCAAGATCAGAAAAAGATGAAAAAGGCGATGACTAATGACATGCAAGCTTTTGAAAAACATCTATTTTCCCATTGGCCTCACTCAGCTTACTGGCTGAAGTTGGATTGTGTGAGATGTCTTCTTGGTCAAATCCCTGTTCTGGGTTTTGTGACAAAAATACCATTTGTATTTTGCGTCCAGTTGGAAAGCATGCAATCTGTCATGAAGGAGAAGACTCGATGGTAGGAGCATCATGGATGCAGCTGGTCACGTTGCATCAGAGGTCAGGAAGTAGGGAAGGCTGCAAGTGCTCAACTAGTCTTCTCCATTCTCATTCCAGAGCCTGTACCCCAGAACAGTGCTGCCCATAGATAGGATGGTCTTTTCATCTCATCTTCATTGAGGAACTCTTCTCACAGCAGTTTCCAGAGATTTGTTTTTGAGTTGATCCAACATTCATATGAACCATGACAGCTTCCAAGGAAATGCTGGAAAGCAGGAAGTAGCACTGTATTAACTGCTCTATGCAATGCTAACTCATCACTTTGGGCTTGCAGGTCACTATTCTTAACAGACTTAGGCTTTCCTAGAGGAACCTCAGTGGAGGTCCCTTCTACAGGCAATGTCAGAGTGTCGTGCTGCTTTGCAGGTACTTCCAAGCCATCTGCTTTAAGTAGTTGAATTGATACCTGACAGGATTATATGTGCTTTGTTTTCTTAACCTAATAGTTTCTAGAGGGCAGGGAATATGTTTTATTTTTGGAGTTACCACAGGGTCAGAAACATAAATATTTCTTACAGTTCTATTAACTTATCTTGAACAAAATAATGCTGAATTCTAGAATGCTACAGGTACAGTTCTAGAATCTCTCAGTTGAGAGGTGTGCAGGAACACATCTGGTTTGCAATGGAAACAAGAACACATGAAATAGTTCACAAGGATACATTTTAAAGTCCATTTTGAAGAATAGGATCTTCTTCTGGTTAAGTTTTACAACCCTTACCTCACCTACAACTGTATTTTAAATAATCAGTTTTCCAAAATTTATTGACTTCAACTAAGTTTGATTGGATTGGGAAATAGACCAGGGACTGTTTTAAGAGATAGGTCATAGGAAATACAAACAGACCTGCTTCTGCCTTCCATATTCACCTGTGAGTCTGAGGTCAGAAGTGGCATGTGATGTTCAATGCCAGAGACCCTTAGATTCTGGTCTCAATGGAACATATTATTGATTCTCTTGGAAGAAAACAGGACTGGATACCACCTGAAAACACAGGGAGATCTGGTGTTTATCGAGTAATAATCTGAGGCATACAGATGACAGTTTTGGCAAATGTAAGAGCAGTTACTTTTGGAAAAACTGAACCGAGCTGCAGTCCTTTATGAAGAATGTCTGATATCTGGAGGATGAATAGATCCCCGATTTTAAGTCTTTGAGAAGCTCCTCTGCTCTCAGGATGTGAAGCCATACTGTTCTCTGTTTTATCTCTTGCAGGCCATGTCATCAGAACTGAATTTACTGAAACAGTTAAGAAATTTCAGCAGGAGCTGTAGGCCACATGGACAGACTTAGTAATAATATAGATCAGTTTGGACCCATAGAGCAAAAGAGCTATTATTGAGTTAGTGTGGTACAAAAATTGCTCGTGACCACTGAGGCATTATGATCTTTTCACTTAAAGGAAGCTATGTGGGCAATAAAATAAGTACTGTTTTTGTGACTCCTGAAAACAAAAACCAATTAAAACTATGCCTAGACATGGATCTGCTTACAAAATATTTCAGGAGTGCCAGGATTGTTGAAATTTCAATCACAGAAAAATTCCTTCTCTCAGAACAAGGATAGCAAGAGTGCAGAAGTAAAGACTATAAAGGCAATTAAAAGGCAAAGCTCACCATAGAAGAGAGGTCATTCTTCCCTCTAGACAAAATATCTTGGTCATGTTCAGACGAGATGTCTTGGATATATTTTCCAGTCAGGAATTAGACCCCAGTGAGCACACTTTCATGCTGAGGTCAATCATTTAGAAATCTGGTTTGACAGAACATTATTACTCCATTTATTCAATATGGTTTTCCATGAATATGTTCCATGTGCCAAACACTGCATTCCACATAAAAGTTTCTTTCCCTTTGAAGCAAAGAGTTTTTCATAATTACTACACAAATGTGACCTGGCAAAAACAGGTCTGTCACATCTTATCATTCCATATTATACATCAGAAAGGGTTGTATGAGTTAAAACTTGCATCTGACTATTGCTAAGAATGATGTGAGATAGGAGTGTCTTAAGTTAGCAGGGCTATTACTTTTCTGTTGATCAGAAGTCAGGAGGGAGACAGGCCAGGGAGAGTGTGACAGACATATGCTATCATCGATGTACCGGGATGCTTTCATCTTTCAGTTCCACTATCCTTAGCACATGGCATCCATCCTCAAGATCACGAGATGGCAGCTGCAAGTCTTGCTATCAAATCTGCATTGCAGAGAAGGAAGAGAAAGCAGTGAACACACAGAATCCTATAATCTCTTAATGGAGTCCGACCCCCAAAATAGCACTCTAGCACTCTCCACACAGAGACTGCTCCCCCGATCACATGGGTGACTCCTTAACAAGTTACTCTGGAAAAAAATTCACATGGTGGTTATGTCTCTATGTCATATAATATGGATATTTTGCTACTAAGAAATGAAAAGGAAGTTGGATATTGGGATGTAGTTAGAAGTCTCTATCGGTAGACTCTGGAATGGAGGCGAGGGTGGGATAGGGACGTAGACTTGGCATCGGAAATATGCTGGCATTTACTAAATTACATGCAATCTCATGACCAGTATGTGATGATGGATGCACTTAGCAGTTCAGATTCTCAACTTTCACACTTATAAACTGATCTTCTGGTAAAATCTTGCTTGCAAGATTGCCTTTAGGATTGAATAAGATATAGCACAGTTCAATATGGCCTTGGGCGACTGATCCAATTTGTGTTTTGCATTTAAAATGTTTTATTGCTAATAAAATATGGAGACTCTATACCAACAAAAGCTGAATACATTTGAGATAAAAATGTCAAAATCCAAAATGAACTCCTGGTTCCTGAAAGGCATCAAAGGAAGACAAAATGGGCTTTATCAGGCTAGAAACAAAAAGATGCCATAGAGCAGCAGGGAGATGGCTCGATCCCATAGTCACCTCTCCTAGCACAAACAACCAAGGTGTGTTTCAATCGGGAAAGTGGACAGACATTGTGTTGCCATCTAAAGACTGACATCCCAACCTATCTGAAAATATCCCTCTGTGCTTCTGCCAGCCCGTGCCTTTTCATCATTTACAGATGTTGACTTTTGCATGTAGTCTACTGAAGGTGCTCCTGACGTAACTCTCCTATGGTACACCCATCTTATCTTCCTTTCCCCCTGTTGGCACGTTATCATCTAGCATGCTCTATATTTTGCCATGTCTCTTTCCTTTTACGCGTCCACCAGGTCTTTGATAACAGTGATTTGCATATTATTCTGTACAGGGATAGTGGCTAGATAACATAGAGCACATAACAGGTGTGAGCATGCCATATTGTGTACTCACTACACAATTATCCTGCTTCTTTTCCAAAGGACTTACCACCATGTATATGCATGCATATAAAGACATACACACTTTGTCTGATTCTCCACAGTAGTCTTTAATCTCTCTGAGGTCAAGGGTGTCAGCTATTTTGTCTACCACTCAGCACCTATAAGAAAGCCTGGCTTTTATTAGGTGTTTAATATACCTTTGTTGATGCTGAATTCCTCACAAATTCAGAAACGGTAATTCAGTGAAGACCTCTGGCCAGGAAGTATGGGATCAAATATGCGTTGATCATGATACCTAACATCCTGAGGGAGACAGAAACATAGAGAACTAGTGGTGGGTTTTGTGAAACTAACACTTTTCCCTTGTTCCATATGTTTACAAACACACACAAAATGGCACCGCAGAGCTGCAAAGTCGTTTCTGTGTGATTGACAGCATTACCAAATTTTAATAGATACATGATCAATGTGCACATGGCAAGCACTAGCTAAGCCCATATTAATATTGTTCTGGGTATTCCCTAACATTTCCATCCTCATAATAAACAATTCCCTACAAACAGCCTTTGTTTGTATTTAAGTACTACACCTGAAATACTGCTTATTGGACATCTGACACAGGCCATCCTAGATGATGGTGAAAAGTCTGGTAGGAAATGACCAATATTAATATTAATTGGAAGCCTAAACTGTACTAGGCACTGGACTAGTATCAAAAAGAATTTTATCAAAGCCAACAACAATTGCTTCCCAGAGGCTGAGAGTAAGTCCCTATTGATGAAGAAACTACACCCTCAGTGGATTTGAGCTGCATCGACCTGAACACCTCCTGCCTGTGGTAATACCAGAAGGTGTTCATGTTCATATGTCCTGATATTATGTTCATACCAGAAGGTTATATGTAAGTTGTCAAGGAATGGAAGAAATCAATAGTACTAACCAGCAATGAAGGCTATGAACCACAACAATGGTGATATGGCAACATATCCCAAAAGGTGCAATGGTGGCCCCCTAGTTGGTAATCCAACATTGAACAGTCAGTGCTGAAATCATATACATACAAGCAATATTATACAGAATCAACAAGTTGCACATGTGTTTCTGAGAGAGAGAAAGAGAGGGGGGAGAGAATAATCAAGAAAAATAGAAAGTGAGAGCAGGTCATGGGAGTATTTGAAGGGAGGGAGCATTAGGGAATGGAGCTTGGAAAGAGGAAGGGAAAAGTGATTTATTTTAGTTATTATTTGAAAAAAACCCCCACATTTAAAAGATACTGATAAAAATCCATTTTGACCAAGTAAAGGACTAAAGCAAATCTCCCCACTAGTTGTGAATTAAGTTTGAGGAGTGAATCCTCAAGCATCTGATGAATGTGGACCTAGAGGTGACAGAAGAATATGGGTTGGCACAGGGCACAGTCTCTCCACAGTCCAGTGTTGAAGGTCTTTAGGGTAAAGAGATCCTTCCTTAATCTGAAGTACAGTAAAAGAAATGTAAGGACCTTGGATATGAGCAGCTTGCATTGGGAGAAACTAGCATCAAGGCTTGTGCTACTTTCCCCTAGCCTGTGAATTAAGATGGAGTAAATCTTCAAAGAGCAGGACCAAATCTCTGATCTGGAGGGCAGCCTTCAGCTGCATGTGTGTGAAGCCTGCCTGCTCCAGGGAAGTCGCGATCAAACTCGATGTGACCAAGCCAAGACTCTGTTGGCTGTGTATGGGATCTGACTCCGGTGTCGCCATTTGTTAAGTTCACCTTTCTCATTTCATGCAACTTACTTTTATCACGACCACGTCCTTCTTAACCCTGCATTTCTTTTGAAATGTCCATCTTCCCCTAAGCATGGCTTTGTAAACTCCTAATCGTATTTGTTTGTTTTAATTGAACAAATATGTTCTATGTCATGGGTACAAGTGATGGTTCCTAATTGGATTCATGCTAGCTCGGCTTGTAGTTACAGAGGACGGGTTTCTCTGGTTCTGCTTGGGCTTGGTCTGTATGTGTGTGTGTGTGGGGGGGGAGATAACTTTAAGGCTTGATTAAAGCACGTTTCTCTAATGTCAGGGTTCCCTCTGAAGGAACGGGTGTAATCTTCGGGGAACAATGGAGACTTGCTCAACTTTAGAAAGTCAGAACAGAAGTTTAAAAAAACAACCCTCGCTCCAATTTTCAACAGGATTGTATAATGTTCAAAAAATGAAAAAAATCCCCCCCACTGTAACCGCAGGAAGCCAAGCATTAAAGTCAGAAAAAAAGCAGAGGCCCCAGCCCCACCCCCAGAATGCATTGCACCATATTGTTTTCCTTTTGTGCTTGCTGATTTCAGAGTTTCATTTTCTGTACATTAAAAAGGGGGAAAAAAGGAGACTTAAGAAAATATTCGTTAGCGGTTTCTGTCTAAATCTCATCATCTAATTATTTTCACAGTGAACATTTGAAATGGCAGAAGCAATTCTGCCAAGAGCCCTCTCTCCCTGGATTCCAGGAGATGTTTCACAATAATTAGAAACCCCAATGGGTCTCTTAAGAACCCTTAAAGGGTTCCATATGCAGACTTCCATATGAAGTGGTACAATGTGCAGTTCTTCATTTTCCACAATAGGGCTTGACAGGTCTTAATGTATATTATTACATTAAATGAGATGCACATTAGTTGGTCAGACTGCTGGGTAGCTGGCCATAATTCACTGAGAAAATACAAACCAACCCAGTAACCCCATTATTTCCTCCTCCTTTATCCTTGTGTCCACATGTGGGCACTTATATGCATGTACGTGCGTACACACATACACACGTACACACACACACACACACTTACACTGGATTTTCATACCTTGTCCTTGAATGTGAGTAACTACTCTCATTGGTTTACTGTAGTTTCAAAGTATTTTAACACATCTCAGGCAAGAAATGAGGGGCAGGGGCAGTTAAGCCAAGCATCATGCAAGAGCTATCTACAGTTCATTTTTCCTTTGAACTAATAGAAGACCTACAGTTGTTCTTTGGGCAGGGAGATACATTTGACCCCCCATGAACCAATGAATCAAAATGTCTTCTACTTAAAATATGTGGCATGGCTAGATCTTGAAGCTCTGTTATTGTCTATGAGCTCTGTGTAGGTAGCAGGAAACAGTCATATCCCTTTGTAGGGTTCCTATTTGACTGTCTATTGCAGATCATTGAGGAATGTTTATAATTTTATATTGATTAGGAATAGCAAATTTGGTATAGTTTTGTTGGCAGCATTCTGTCTTGTTCTTTATAAGTTGGTATGGTTCTTTGAGTGGGTAGTGAGTCTAGAGTTTGTGGTCCTCTGATAGGAATTGTGAAGAGTGATTTTTGATGCGTTCTTTACCTTAATAAGGCCACACAAAGTAATAAAACTAGATCTCCAGAGTGAGTAAGAAAACTAACACAGCTTCTTTTCTTAAGAAGTTTATGTTCTCAGTAGAATAGACAGCTATATTTCACACTGCAAAAAATATAGAATAATTGTTAGGAAGTATTATCAGTATTTCCATTTCCCATCATCCTCTTTATGACCCCGTGTTTGCCATTGTTAATGTAGTGAAATGACTAGCAAGTGCCATTTGAAGCTATGGATGAGAAAAGAGGAGTGAAATACGAGCAAGGAATACCTGATACTTTCTCATTACTGTTCATTGCTTTAAAGATTTCTCAACTCACTTAAGACTTTCTAAAAGAAACATGACTTAGCCCTACATTGATGTATGATTATCTGTTTTTCTCCCTGCAATTACATTTTCAACATAAGGATTGTGTGTTTCTAGAGGCAATGAATACCATATTATTTTGAAAACACTGACATGGAATCTTCTCACAAAACAAAGAAAGCAGTAACTGACTGTCCTGACCTCCCTAGAGTGTTTAGATTCCTTTGATTAACTCATGGGAATGGTGCACCAAGTGAAAAATCCAAACAAGAGTACAAACGAATAACTTTCCTATTTCTTCTCAATATTTGAGAAAATCAACAATTGGAGAGTATCGGTATTTGGCTATTCATAGAAACAATAATCTAGCAGCTCATATGTTCTTCTACAGATGGCTATTAATTGAATATCCCTAGACCTATCAGATGTCTTCTCTGGTCACTAATGCAGAAATGTTGAGATATAGAATCAAAGACAGTCTGAATTAAGAGTAAAGAAATAAAAAAAATACTATATGGTCTCAGGTGCATGTAAAACAGTGAAATTGAATTCAGAATTAGAGTTAGAATATTATTATTTAACTTTAGGACAGTGGTTCTCAACCTTCCTAATGTTGTGACACTTTAATATAGTTCCTCATGTTATGGTGACTCCAACCATAAAATTATTTTCATTTTCTACTTCACAACTCCTTTTGCTACTGTTATGAATTATAATGTAAATATCTATGTTTTCTAATGGTCTTAGGTGATCCCTGTGAAAGGGTCATTTGACCCTCCCAAAGAAGTCATGACCCACAGGTGGAGAACCACCTGGTTAGGAATTATGAAGAAAAATGGAAAACATTAGATACTTCTCTAGGGCATATGACTTAGCTAGTTACAAGTTGACATAATACTATTAATCTACTGGATGGGTATAGTAATTAAGCTGCCTTCTGAGTTCTTATATTTATAGCTGTAGATCTGTACATCTCTCTACCTGCATCAAAGGAGCTTCTTTTTTGTAGTATTCAGTTATTAATACAGAGAACCACAACTGATCAACATGCAGAGAAAGACTGTCCTTGGCTCATTGTGGGTCTCTGTGTTATTTACCATCTACTGTAAATGGAAATTTCTCTCATGAGGGTTGAGAGATACATTAATCTATAGGTATAGCAGTAAATCATTAGGAGTCAGTTTAGTATGTATCCATTTAGAAGAACAATACTAGTGGTTTCTCTCCTATGGCCTATGACCCATCTAATCACAGGTTCTTGGTCCAACAAATGGTGATGCTATTAACTGTAACAAATAAGAGAGTTGTTTGTGACTTCCATGGTGCTTGTGCCACTATTGCACAAGTGGGCATGTCTTGCCACGATTCACAGCTGGGTAAGAATGGTGATTATGTTTATTCTCTGGCAGTGTGAGAATAGGAAGAAGCAAAGTGCTAGAGAGGTCCACAGAAATCCACAAAGATACCTCCACAATAGACTACTGGCAATGGTTGAGAGAAAGCCCAAACTGACCGACTCTGGTGATAGGATGGCCAAACACCCTAATTGTTGTACTAGAAACCTCATCCAATGACTGAGGGAACCGGATGCAGAGATCCACGGCTGGGCCCCAGGTGGAGCTCCAAGAG